AGCTTCAGGACGCTAATGCTATTGTCTTTTTTTATCATTGTAAATTGAAACTGTGCATCTTAAAATGTCTCTGGTAAAATGCAGTGAACTTGCAGTGAACACCTTGCTTGTTACTTCACATTTTTATATTCAAATTACTTGAATCACCCCATTCGTTGAACAGAAGCGTTTGAACTGGTCCTTGCCAGAAGTCCGTGGGCTTTCAGCTCCAGCCCAGGTCTATGGTTGGAAGACAGTAGCAAGGGTGGGGCTCTGTCAGTTGGTCCCACTGGCCCCTCAAATCATCCCATAATCTCCCTGGAGTGTTTCTTGTGTTATAAAATGGAAAGTGTTTTGTTACATATCCTGGGGTCACAGCCTATGTATGAAGATACTGCCTAAACTTTTAGGGACAGGACAAATATTCATTTGGACATTACCAAGGCCAAGCTAGATGCGGCTTTCTGCTCCTTGGAGGTGGCCAGTGAGAACCAAAGTAGTTTGGCCAGCAGCTGAAGGGCTACTAAGTGTGCACGATTGCCACATCACAAAGCTGTGTCAGGCCAGACCCCTGCCGCATAGTACTGTGCAGAAGTTGGCAGATGTGGAACCTGGCTGAGCTTCATTTTCCCCGTGGGTCAAATAGCCTGTCTCAAACAAACAAACAAACAAACAAACAAACAAAAAAAGGGTCTCGGTAATTTGGTTATTCCTTAATATATATAGATGTGCATTAGCACATGGTTAGGGGTGTGCAGGGGCAGTTTCTACTGCAGAATTGGCGTTAGTGGGCAGCTTCTGCAGGGGCAAACCTAGATGCAAGAGTAAAATAACATTCTACAACGTTCCAGCCACAGAAGCAGAGGTTGGCTTCTGGAGAGGTCCACTGGTGTTGACTGTTGCCTCCCTGACCTAACCCTGGTGATCACTTCAAAGTGAGATGGAATGCTTTCCTGGTGTCAAATGGATGATCATGTTTGTTCAACTAGCACTAATTTACCAATGGTCTCTTCATTCAGAGCGTAGTTTTAGGGTTCAAACCTGGCCCCTTCATGTTAGACCCTTGTTCTAAAAGCAGAATAATAACCAGACATTATATGACCTGAGACTGTTGGAGGTGACCTCCTGGAGCTCTGGGGACCTATGGCAGGGGGCAAATTGAGCACTGGGCCAACTTTCTAAGTGAAGAGATGTTTAGGCTGAGGCTACAGCAGGAGAGGAGGTGGCCAGTGGTTGGGGTTTTGGAGAGACAGGAGATTTAAAGGGATGACACTAGACATGAAGGAACTGGATGGTTGGGAAAAATGCAGAGAACTGCAGCACGGTTGAACCAGCAGGGATGGTGAACATGGCCATGTGTGGCTGGTGGTCTTTAAGTGACATTGGGGGCCTAAGAACCACTGGTGAATTGTAACATTAGCTGTGTAAAAGAGAAGATAGACAAGTTTTTGTTTCACATTTATTTATAGTAAACATAATCCCACAAACCACATGAGTTGTGCTATGGGGCATACTCCAATAACAAAAATATTGTCTAGTCAATCCAGAAAAATATTTTTTTTAAGGGGTAAAGAAGTTGCTCCCTGAGGCCTAGTTAAACACAGGGCCTGCTGCAGCTGTTTGATCACAGGGACCTGGAGTCTGTTAGGTGACAGTGTTGAGACAGTTGCAGGGTGCTCCGTGCTGTTCTAGGAAGAGGAAAAGGTAGAAGAAAGTAGGGAAAAGGAGGGAATCTTAGTGAGGGAAGCCACTGGGGGAAGGAATGGCATTTGCTAGGAGGATGGAGGAGCAGGTGGGGAGATAAGAAGGAAGTAGAAGATGGTTCTAAAACTTCTAGGAGAATGTCCTGAGGAAGAAGAAGCAATTGTGTATGACTAGGAAGAAGCCATGTTGTGTGTTACTGGGAGGCCAGGAAAGTTGAGGACATACTCACAGAGGGGGATGAGTGTCTGGCATGGTGCCAGACAAGGCCAAGGTGGAGTTAGGTGGGTCACTATGAGGTGGGCCCAGGTTGCCAGATGAGGATACGCTATCCCTGCTCCAGAGCTGGAAGGGGTAGAACTGGGACCAGAACCTGGGGCCCAGCACTATATTTTGAGTCTTTACTAGTCAGAATAGGACTAGAGACAGCAGTTGGGATCTGATAACCGACCTGAAGCCACTAAATACTTTTAAACAACTCAGCAGGGACAAGGTGAGATGGTGTCAACCTCTCTCATAGGAAAGGACCAAACCTCAAATGTAGGTGGCTCCATGCCCAGGGCATCCATAACTTCAATCCTCGTGGAACTTTTTGACACGACTGCTAAGCCCATCCTGGCCTACCCCTTCCTGCCCTGGAGTAGGTATGGTGTATTCCCATCTGGCAACCTGGGCCCACCTCCTCGTGACCCACCTAACCCCAGCTTGGCCTTGTCCGGCGCCATGCCCTGGGCTTCAGGCATACTTGCATTTGGGAAGCCTGCCCCAAACACACATGCTGCTCCTTCTGCCTCTCCCCTTCTGCCTACGTAGACTTTCCTTCTGGGAGGCATAGTTTCCCTGGGTCTGCCTTGCTGAACCTCCAGAGCACACAGGAGCCTGAAATTCCTCCTGTCCAACATGGCAACCTGTTCCATAATGACCGGCTCCTACTTCCCCTGTGTGGAGTGGAGGTGTCTCATCCATCTTTGGGCTGCTGGCTGCCAAAGGCCTGGCCTGTGTAGATGCCACCCTGTCCTGGCTGGCTCCTCTCTGTGCCCTACCTGTATTGCCCTCCCTGCACTGACTCTCAGACTGTGGCCCAGCTGAGTGGGTTTCTCTGGTTTGTCTCCTTGGGGTCTGTGTGCCCGGCCCCCATTTGAACAAACGGTGTGAATCTGGGTTAGTTATAAATAGCCAGGCCCGCCACTTTCCTTTTAGCTGAAAAGCAAAGTGAACGAGCAGAAAGGCACACCCGGCACGCGTTTTATTTTTAATCTTTTCCCTCTGTCTCAAAATGAACCCAGAGCCCAGTGATGAGTATTTCTACGAGCAGGAGCACAAGCAGATGCCTGAGAAACAGAATTCAAAGAAGCGAAGGCTCTGGGTTTGCCCGCCTCTGCTGTGTGACCTTAGGGATTCAAGCTTCCTCTCTGGGCTTCAGTTTCCTCACCAAGGAAGGGGGAGAATAGTGATCACTGCTAAAATTCTGGTTTTTCTGACTGCAGCTTCCCTTCTCCCTCGTTCCCTCTGCCTGTGTCCTGCCAGCTCTGACTGGCTCCTGGCAGCTGCAACAGAGGCATGGGTGTCCCTGGAATTTCCTGGGAAGCTTAGATCCAGGTAGAGGCGGTGCCATCATCAAGCCCCTGTTAGGTGATTCTCCACTTTCTTGGGTATTGTACAACATTCTACCAGCTAGGCTGATTTCAGCACCAGGATCAGAGAGGTTCAGTAATGTGCCCAAAGCTACACAGCTGGGAAAGGCTACATTTTAGGAGTCAAACCAAGGCTTCTATGGAAGGCTGTGGATATTAAGTCTTAAAAACAAAGCCTGAACCAATTGAAGCAACAGGAAACTGCTTTCCCTGTGTCCCCCAGAAACCAATGGGGCAAAGCTAGCTACTCTGTCTAAACACCCCATGTGAGAAGCTGGCCAGGAGCACTAGACAGAAAGAAACATGGAGGGTGGGGCTGGGGAAAGAGCTCAGTGGTCTTAAGCGCCTGCCTGGCAAGTGCAAGGACCCCAGTGCTTCAATCCCTGGTACTTCATCCCATGCTGGCCACTGAAGCCAGGCCTGGTGGCACAGGCCTATAATCACAGCCCTGGGGAGGCTGAGACAGGAGGATCACTATGAGTCCCAGCTGCGTGGGGAGACCATGTACCAAAAATAAATAAATAAACATGGGAAGAGAAAATAAGAGCTACTCAATACTCTGCCCTGCCTGCCTGCCTCGGCCACCCCCATCACCCCAGGCACCCACTGTCTGATGTCCTCAGGGAGTAAGGAAGGGAGGCTAGGGTGTTGTCTTCAAAGAGGAAAGCCCTAGTGTTAATTGGCACTCAGAGACCTTTAGGCTAATTAACCTGTTTATTTATCTCTCTGGAGTAAATTAGAGGATTTAGCTGGGGAGGGTGGGGAAGAGGTATTTGCAGGTGGCCACCTCCCAAGGGACTGTAGATGGCCTCACAGTGGGCCATGTGGGCTGCCTGCTGGCTGAGGAGGAGGGGGTGGGTCCGTGGCAAGGCAGTAGTGACAGGTGGCTGCACATCATAAGGAAGAGCTTCTCTTTGCTCTACCCTCCTACCCACAACTCAGGAGGCCTGCTCTGAGATCCTGGCTCTGTGGAGCTGCTGCCTGTGCTAGAGTTGTGAGTTCACAAGCAGACATTCTTTAGAAAGAGGGGGAGGGTACAAGATGGGCCATTTATGGGGAACCTTGTCTCACTGTACTTCTCCTAGTACCTGTGCTACAGCCATGGCATGTGGAACTCTCTTCTGAGGCCCCAGATGTCCCTTTAAGACCTGTGGATTCCTGTCACCTTTGGTTCGGGATACAGCTCTTTTTAGGATAGAAGACACTATGGTCTCTACCTCCCCCTCCATTTCATGCTCTTCTCAGAGGATAGCCAAACCAGTTTTGGGGCTCTAGTGGCCTTGGGCATGTTTTAGGTGTGTGGGTGGGGGTCTCAGATGTCTCCTCACCAGTCTGCGCAAGGCAAGGAAGAAGGAAGTTCTCTTAGTGTGCTGGGGCCTGTAGGAATGATCTGCCATGCTCTCCTAAGGGTGTCTGCTGTCTTTCAAGCTGCTGTGCACCGGTTTATGGCTGATGCCCCTCAGGTACAGTGTGACCAAAAGCTGCCATATTTTGCGACCTCTGGGGCCTCACCTCTCAGCTCCAGCCCAGCTCCTGACATGGCTCCACCCACAGTCTCCCTTTCACTGCTCAGTTCTCCTGCCTTGCCAAGTTTTCCTGTCAGGCACCACCCTACCCATCTGGGCCAATCAACATGGAGGAGGTTGGCTGCTCCCATTCACCCCGGGACCCTCTTCTGTCTTGCAGGAGCCCATGGGATCATCAGCAGTGGCCTGATCCCTTCACTGGTATGGAAGCTGCCGAGGGAGGAAGAGAACATCCAGGAGCTCATCTTGGACACACTGGCCTCCTGCCTGCAGGAAGATGTCACTGAAGCCCTGGGTAGCCGTGCTGTGCCCTTCCTAAGGCAGAAGCTCCTGAGCCCCAACACAAACATCCGCAGCAAGGCTGCTAGGGTGCTCGTCGCCATCAGGTGAGGCCCAGTCTATGCCAGACTGAGTGGCTGCCCCCTTGGGCTTCTGTAGCAGCCCAGCCAAAACCACTGGGCTTTATCTCAGCCAGGCCTGCTTGCCGGAGAGCATCATGTAACCCAGGAAATCCTTTCTTTGCTCACATCCTGGCCAAACATCCAACCGACTGGTCACCTCTCTCTATGAGGATGGCAAGCAGAATACCATTTAACGATGATAGCTGGGGTCACTAGGTCCTTTCTAGTTCAGGCATTGTCTGTAAACTACACATGAAGACAGCTCTCTAGGGGAGGAGATTGCTCTCTTCACAGGGTGAGGAAACTGAGTCCCAAAATCTAGTCTCTAGCTCAGAGTCCCATAGGATGTGGTCTCCATCCTGGCTTGGGAACTAAGGAAGCAGTTTCTTGACTCTGGTTCCCTTGTCCCCAAGGATAGGTGGTTTCGCTCCCCATAGCCCCTGCTTCGGCTGTGGCTACATCCTTTTAGTTGGGGCCCCTTTGCCTCTATAACTTCTGGATTTTCTTCCATTTGGGGTTCTCCCTAGAGGCCCAAGCCTGTATTTCTATAGGTGTGGTGGTCTGACCCAGGCCCCTAGCGGACATCTGGCCAATCATCTTTCAGGACTCTAGGGCCAGAGAAATCGGTCTCATTTCTTTTTGAGTGACTTAAGGAAAGGCTCCATTGCACCCTGGACCCCCCCTGGTCTTACTGTTAGTGCAGCAGGTCACTCTTCTCTCTGTACCTTGGTGCCTGTCCCAGCCATGATTAGTCCTCAGCCACTAAAGATAGTCTCCAAATAAATCGTTTCCTTTTGTGTCCCCCTCGGGCATTCTTGGGGTTTAGTTCTTCTTTCCCTTTAAGTGGAGGCTCCAATTTCCCCCCTTCTGACCCAGCATCCCTTTGGAGGGCAAGAACCAGGTGAGGCAGCATGACGTCATCCCCATCCTGGTCGATCTGCTGAAGGACAAGGATCATGAAGTTCAGGCCAATGCTGCTGGAGCCCTGATGTATGCCACAGTAACCACTGAAGGTGAGTTGAGGGGGGCCGCCCCAGGATGCCTGCAACTGGGTGGGTCCAAGCAGGAGGAGGAAATAGTATGCCAGCAGTTGTGTTGAGCTTTCCTAAGCTTGTCCTTCTGCTCATGGACCTAGTGTGGATCCCTCTCCCCCAACCCTCCAAAAATCTATCAAAATCCCCCCTCTTGGACTATCATGGAAGTCCTTTTGAGGTTTGGTTCAACACACAGCCTTCCGCTTCTTCCTAGCACAGGCTGCTTTTGGCCTCTCACCAATCACTTGTTTTCACACCAAGCTGGTCCCTGGGCTTTGAATCCCCACCTCTGACCCATACCCTTTGTGAGCTATGAAGTGATTCTGGGATTGATTAGTTTGTGATCCATGACTCTGTTATCCTGAGGTCTAAGCATACCCTACTCTTGACTGTTTTCTTGATCATAATTGTTTTTCTTGAGGCGAGAAGGAGAGCAATAAGAGTATAGAACGCTCTTTTCCCAGGCCTCCAGCTTAGGATTTCCTGTGAATCAGGCTTTCAGACTTGGCTAGTCTCCACACCTGACCACCTGGGATAAGGTGTGTTCCTTTTGATCTGCTGAAAGCTGTGTGACCTTCCCCAGTGGCCTGTAGCCACTTGCACCAGCCCTGTGGTATACACTTCTGGTTTGTTCCAAGGAAGACTCTCTGTCTTGGGCTCACAATCAATATGCCACAACCTCCCCCCGCCAGCAAATTCTCCTGGAGACTCCATGCTGGACCTGAATGGTAGGACTTAACATGGAGGAGCAGAGGTTGAGGTCTTCTCAGGGTTCATGGCCCACCTTTCCATTGTGTAGTCAGGATGCTGACACTGTGGTGGAGGTGGGGTGCCCCCTATATATTGATCTTGGGGTACCTCAGCTCAGGCCTGTTGGTTACCTGTAGGGCCAGTGGGGATTCAGGTAATAGCCAGAGACAAAGCCCAGAAGCCAGGGATGCGAAGCTGCCTACTCTCTGGCAGGTACTCCAGTTCAGGGACCCTGACACAGGCCAAGCCTTGGGCTGCACAGTAGTAACACAGTGGCAGGAGAGGTAGACTGAAGAGTGACATGGGGGAAGTACAGCCACGTGATGAGGCCAAGTGTGCTGTGTGAGGGACTTGCAGACTGATCCAATGCATAGTGTAATTAGGGGGTGGAGTTGAGAGGCCTTCACAGCAGGTGAGAGTTCACTCATAGCAGCCCTCCATGGCAAAGGGTCAAGGGGAGCAGCTCATATACAATGTTTGTTAGTGTCACGAGGGCAAGAGCCACATGGTTGGTTTTGTAGTGGTTGATTTTGCTGTGTTGAGGATTGAACCTAAGGCCTCACAAATACTAGGCAAACACTCTGAGTACTGAACTAGACCTCTAGCCCCATGTTGTGTCAGGTTTAAGATAGTTGTTGAAGAAATATTTGCCACATAAATGACTGGCTTTCCATTTAAAAAAAAATGCCTATTTATGTTGCTTTGTGAAGACTAGTTATAGGTTAGGAACTAGTGCTTGTAATGAAGCCTGTTAGGGGGCTGGAAGGGTAGGAACCAGGGTCTAGGCCTAGTCCCCAGGCTGGACTCAGCAGAAGAGTACAAGAGAGGTGGGGCAAGAGAAGAAGGGCAGATACATGGCGGTACTTCCTTTGAGACCACCCAGACAGGAGGGGAGCAAGAAGGTGGCTCCCTCAGAGTGGCTGGCTAAGAGGCTTGCTGTTGGTTACCTGCAGGGAAGTATGCGGCCCTGGACGCAGATGCCATCGACCCTCTCCTGAAGCTGCTGTCTTCACCCTTGACCAAGGTGCGCCTGAACGCCACTAAGGCCCTCACCATGCTGGCTGAGGCCCCCGAGGGCCGCAGGCGCCTGCAGCCTCAAGTGCCTGCCTTCCGTATTCTAGAGTCAGATGACAACAGGATCATCCAGCGAGCAGCCCAGATCGCCATCAAAGTGATTGAGTGGAAACCCTGAGCCTCTCAGCAGCAAAACCTGACATATTGCCTCTATACCTGAATAAATAGGCTGAATCTCTGTACTTTGGGTACCAGTGTTTTTTATGTTCTTGGCATGGTCATCTCTTTCTTTTGAGTCAAAAGGGAAACCCCATCTCCCACAGGCCCAGAGTCCCCTCAGAAGGTGAAGCACAAGGCCAAGCCATCCAGAGACATTGGTTGGGGCAGGGAAGTAGTTGGAAGTTAGACGGAATGTAGCTGGACTAGACGTCAGCTGAACTTGAGAAGCTTGAGTCATCAGGCCTGTGGGGTGCAGCTGGGGGTGGCCCTGCTGAACACTCTCACCAGTGCCCTGTTCCGCCTCTCTTCCTGCCTTCCCACACTGGGCAACAGGAAGGAAGGTGAAAGGTATAGCCTAATGTGACTCTTCCTAGAGAGGGGGAGTCAGTCATAAGAGAATCCTTTAGGGCTGAACACTTAGGACAGTAACAGGTTCAATTTCTTTGTAAGACCTTCCTGTCAAACAGCTGCATTCCTCTCCATACCAGGGAAGTCACTGGAGTGTGCCCCTCTTAGGCCTCTGTAAAGCCCACTGTGCCACCTCCTCTCTCCTTGGCCCTGTCAGTTTCAGGGAAGCCCTTTCATGAGCTTGCCTCCCACCTGTGCCTCTGTGATTTTACTTCTATGGGGAGACTGAGGCATGGGAATGAGTTTGGTGGAATAGTTGGGAGAGCCTCTTTGTCCCCAAACCATCCCTACCTGGTCTGACCAGGTAAGGGTTCTTTTAGTTTTTGGGGAGAAACTGTGGTTCTGTCTTCTTCTAGAGGAACTAGGGAGGCAGAGCTCAGCTTCCAGGCTGGACCCTTTCTGTGTGGGCTGAGCTGCAGCCTTTACCTTTCCCCAAGGGACGTTTTGAGGCTCCATCTTCACCTACCAAGAGTTGATTCTGGGAAGACTTCTTAGAATAAGTATTATTAGCAAGATCAGGGCCCCACATAAGTCTCTTCCTGTAGTCCTTTCAGCAAGCCCCAGCGACCCTCACATTTCTCAGAAGAAACACAGAAGAGTTTGTGTCTCTTAAGGTTTGTGTCCAGATTCCCCCCCTCCAAGATTCATGTGATCATAGTTTTTTTTTTTTTTCTTCTTTCTCAGAGGTGGCTGAATTTAGAATGTGTGATTGATTCCTAGTATAATGCTGGGATTAAGGATGCTAGGATTAAGGGTGCTGGGATTAAGGGTGGGTGACTGCTAAATCAGTTCACTGATTGGATTGCCACCACCCTAGTTGAAGTAGACCAGACACAAAATAAGGGAGAGAAAGAGGCTTGTCCCCCTACCTCCTCTTTTTCTTAAATTGCCCAAGCTGGATTTGATTTACAAATGCTGGTTTAAGCTCCCAGAGCTGGAATTAGAGGTGTGGCACCATGCCTAGGCCTCTCTCTCTCTCTCTCTCTCTCTCTCTCTCTCTCTCTCTCTCTCTGTGTCTGTCTCTCTGTCCCTGTCTCTCTGTCCCTGTCTGTCTCTGTCCCTGTCTCTCTCTGTCCCTGTCTCTCTGTCCCTGTCTGTCTCTGTCCCTGTCTCTCTGTCCCTGTCTGTCCCTGTCTCTCTCTGTCTCTGTCTCTGTTTCCGTCTTTCTCTTTGTCTCTCTGTCTCTGTCTCTGTCTCTCTCTGTGTGTCTGCGTGTATATCTGTGTGTCTGTCTCTCTCTGTCTTGCTGTATGGGAGCTCAAACTCTGGACCTTGTGCTTGTCAGGCAGCTCATTATGCCACTGGGCTATCTCCCTGGCGCTGCCTCTTTTTTACTCTCATTGCTTTTTCTGGATTCTGCTGCCATGAACTGTTGTCCCTTTGCCATGTGCCACACTGCCTTGGTGCCAGCTGACGATTATGGACTGAAACCGCTACACACTGGGAGCTAAATAAACTTTTCTCCTTTTAATGTTGGATGTTGAGTATTTTGTCTCAGCAAGGAGAGTCAAGTAGCTAAGACATTGTCCTTAGAATTCAAGGATTATCGCAAGTAGGCCTCTGGGTCTGAAAGGGACTGGGTACTTTCCTGAGTTTTTCAGGAAAACAGGTAACTCCAGGGGTCCACGCCCATCCCAACCCTGCATTACTCCATAGCAGGCTGGCTCTACTCTATCCCTGCCACCAAATCCCTGGGTTCTTGGACTGAGCTATGAAACCCTCTTTTGCTACCTGACCAGTGGTGTTGATGATGCCACTGTGGAGTTCAGCTGTGAGACTGACGTAGATTTTGTTTCAGGCCCTTGCTCCTTTCATTTTCCTGCAGAAGCTCTTCTGCTTGGATGTGGGCCTTGCCTACCACCTTCCTGCCTGGGTCACTTTCCTACTTAGGCCTGCCCTCTGCTGTCTCCCAAATCTGGGACTGTAGTCCCAGTCTGTCTTCTGAGTTCTGGTCCCCTGCAGCAAATGAACATAATCTACCCTTACATGTCCCCAGGAAGGAATACCAGTCATTCACAAGGCTAATACTATCCTAATGCTTAAACTAAACAAGTCACAAGAAAACTACAGCCCAATTTTCCTTATGCCACAAAATAACCAAACATGAGCAAACCAAATCTAGCATCATATAAAAAGCACTATATACCAGACCCAACTGTCTGAAGAATATAAGATTGGCTTTATGTATATTAATGTATATACATTAAAGAACAAAAGTCAGAATAAGAATTCCACAAAATCCATACCCCTGTGGCTGGTGGCATTTGATATATGACACTGAGGGGACATTTTCAGTGCTATAAGTGTTGACCCCATATTCTTGGGTCTCCTAGGAGGAAACACTTCTTCTCTTTTCTTGATGGAAGTCTGGGAGAGGCAGCAGCCTTGGGGCCCTCAAGACACCTCAGGCTTGAGCTGCTTCAGGCAAAGTAGATGTGACCAAGGACCACGAGTGTGATCAGGATGGTCCCACTGGAACTGATCACCTTCTTCCAGTAGGGCCTGTCCAACATATCACTCCCCTTTTTATCTTCCATCGTCTCTGTGGATGCCTTCATCTTTGCGGATAGCTGTCCTTGAGCCAGGATGTCCGCACCTTCTAGTGTGTCACCTTGCCCCACCTTTTCCTTACTTACTTCCATTTTTATGGATGACTCTCTGGAGCTCGAGACCTTAGCATCTTCTAGAGAATCACTATATTTCCTCTTCCTAGTTGCATTTGTCTCCTTGGTGGTCTTTGCAGGAGCTACCTTGGAGTTCATGTGCGGCTCCAGGCCAAAATAGAGTTGAAAGCCCTCCCAGAAGTAACTTTTGGAATCCCCAAACATAGCTAGAACAGAAGAAACAGGCAAAGATAGGAAGGAATGTAGGACATTACGCAAGAGAGAGGCTCCTGTAGAGATTCACTTCTCAGAATTGAGTTCAGGGTAAAGTCGAACAGACTCATAGACATAGAATTGCCTACTGTTGTATTCAGACACGACTTAAAACTCAGAGTAGAATGAGGGACTTCTGATGTGTTGTGGAGTAGAGTGTGGCTGCACAGCCCTCAGCTGCGTCCAGATCCCCTTGATTGGGTGCCTGAGTGACAGGGGAGCTCTGTTTCCTCATGTACCCCAACTGTGCTGCAACAGTGTCCTTTCCTGTCTCTGTAGGTCTAGGGCAGTAGTTGCTGCTCCTCTGAGTGCCCTACCTCTAAGTACTACTCTTTGGAAGGAAGAGGAAGTCCTACAAGTTCTGGGAATAGATACTGTTCTCTTGGGCAGTTTCTGATGTCTTCTCCAAGTAGCTGTCTGTCTCTGTGCTTGGCCCATAGGATACTTGGAGACACTTCCTAGAGTTGTTTGGCGTAGGGGAGGCAGTTTAGGAATTAAAGGAAAGCTGCCATACATTTTTCGGGGCCAAACCAGTGAAAACACCCATGTGTGGAGCTTGAGTATTACTCCAGGGTCTGAGCTGCAGACACTGGCCTGCCCCTTGGGGCTTGTGCAGGCTCAGGTCAGCACCACGGTCAGCTCCAGCACTTTCGCTCAGGCCCAGCTACTGCCTAGAACGTGACCTTGAGCCACTCCTGGGAATGGATAGCTCTTGGATGGTGAGACAACCCTGTTTCATTCTGAGTGGGTTTTCAGTGTGTGCACTGGAATTGTACACATGCTGTCTCATCTTGTCGAACAACCTCAAAGCTAGTGTTCTTGTAGCTGAGGCTTATAATAACTGTGACCCAAGTCAGCCAAGGCTGTATGATAGGAGGTTGGCTGGCTCAGGGCTGAGAGCCCAGACTTTGAAATGAAACTGCCAGTGTTCAAATCTCAGCTCAACCACTGGTTGGTTATCTGATTGCTAAATACTTTAGTTTTCCCAGCTTAAAAATGGGGATGATGCCTATACCTAGCGTATGTAATCTTGGAAGCACCTGGAATGCTGTGAGTACTCAGGAGCCAATTTACATCTCAGTAAAGGAGAAGAACCATCAGAGGGAGACTGGAGCCCCAGAGCCTCCAGAAGCATGGGGTCTTGTGCCCAGGAAAGGCCATCCAGCACCCCACAGGAGTCCCCAGGGCCTTTCCCAAACATATGCCCATTTCCTAGGTGTCAGCAAAGACCCCAGGCCCTCTCTTGGCTGTGAACTCACCTGGCAGGAGTGAAAGGGGAAACCCTACCTTCTGTACAACCAGGCCCTTGCCCTCCCTCCCCCAAACTCACAGCTGCTTTACTACTCTGTGCCCCAGACTTGGAACTAATCTTATTATTTCCTTTATCCCTGATTACATCAGGGGCTACAAGAAGCTCAGGTCACCCCACCCCCTATGGCCTGGAACACTCCACTTCTGACCCTATTTGCTAAAACCCTCTCTCCAATTCTCTGGAGGCCCCAAGGCCTCAGACTGTTCCAGGAGCACTCTCCTTTCTTGCTTGGACTGAGACCTATTTCTCCCCCAGATCTGCTTCTGGGGTGTGCTCCTTCCCTGCCCCTGTACCTCCCTTGGAGTGGGTCATCTCATACCTCCTTCCAAGGAGCCTCTGATTTTGAATATACACACTCAGTCACTCCCCTCCCTAAGCTGCATGCTCAGGTTGCGCTGGAGGTGCCACGTGGTCTGCGTGTGGTTAAGCCCAAGGGCCAGTTCTTAGGCTGTGTCCTTTTCCAGCAGCATTGGCCTCAGTGGATCTGCCTTTTGAAATGCTGCCAGGACACCAGGGTGAGCGCAGCCTGCTCACCATGGCCTCACAACTTTGACAGACCCCAGCCACAGCCAGGAGGCATCTTAGGGAAAATGAAAGCCAAGGCTTTTGCTCTGAAACATTTCTGCAGGTGAGGGTAATGGTGTGGAGAAGTGTTGGGCACCAACACAGTCCACCAAAAAACAAACAAACAACAACAACAACAACAACAAAACAGAAACAAAAACAAAAAAACCCCACAGGCCACCAATCACCTAAGAGCATGCCACACAGGGTCACTTCCCAGGGCTGATCTTGCCTCTCACCTGGTGTGGCCTGGAATCTTGGCAGTCTCTTCCATGTTCTGTCCCTGTCCAGATCGATCCTCTCCTCTCGGCTCTTTCGCAAGCTCCAGCAGAGCCTGTGGAGCTGTGATGGGGGAGACGAGGAGAGAGTAGGGGCATGTCACCATGAGTCCCTTTAAAAAAATCTTTTATTTATTTATGTATTTGGTACAGGGTTTTGCTACACAGTTCAGACTCATAGTAATCCTCCTCTTAGTCTTCCCAGGGCATAGTGGTCAGCTTGGCATGGCATGTGGTGCCAGGGATTGAACCCAGGTCCTTGGGCTTGCTAGGCAGGTGCTTAGACTGCCAAGCTATTTCCCCAGTCCCACCATGGGGCCTTGTTTGCAGCCAAATAGTAGCATGGCCTGCTGTTGGGTCCAGGGTCTTGATGGACTGAAGGTGATCTGGTTATCAGATTAACAAAAGATGGAAGGAAGATGGTATAGGGAATCATAGGAACAAGGACTGTGAGTTTTAGTTCTGGTTTAGGTAATGTGGTCAATTGACCTTGGCAACAGTGTCACAACCCATATAGGCCTCAGTATAAAGCAAGAGTTTGGAGACAATAGATTTTAGTCTCCTTCCTTTTAGGAGGGCCCAGGAAGTCACCACATATCCACTCCCTTCAGAGTGGAAGAAGTTGCCCATTATTCTGGGTTTACTTCTGGCTATGTGTGTGTGTGTGTGTGTGTGTGTGTGTGTGTGTGTGTGTGTATGTGTGTATGTATGTATGTATGTCTATGATATGGATATGTTGGGCATGGGAGACATGAGCTATCATTGTGGAAGCCCTGCTGAAGAGTCTCTGGGGCCAAGCTCAGTTCTGTAAGTTATACAGGACATTTGCAGGTGCCAAAGCAGGGATACTTGCTTTCTTTGCAGCTCTATTTTTTTATTCCTAAAAACAGGTGTGAAACTTTGGGAAGTAACCAAGCTCAGCCAATTGTTATTATTTTGGGGGCAGGGTAAGGGTAGGTAGAGTACATCTGAGGGAATATTTTCCACCAAATCCAAGTCTGTCCTGAAATAGATCAGTCTGAATCTATCACACCAGCCTTGGTGCAGGCATAGGAGAAATCTCAGCCCTAACACACAGCTGGATGTTTGTGAGCCTCATCGATTGAGTAGCTTTCCCAGAGCCTGGTTCAAGGCCCAGTCCTACCTGAAATGTTGGGACTACAGTTCTGTTGTGCCCATGACAGCCACTAGGCTTAAGCTTTAATTGCTTCCTGATGGTGCTGAATGTGCACATTTTGCCTTCCCAAGAACACTACCAGCCTCCTTCTATAGATGAGGTTGCTAAATATGTGGAAAGGGCTTAGGTTCCAGAGTTGCAGGGCATCCATGAGTTTCTGGGCATGGAAGAGTTGGGAGCAGAGCTCCACCCCACTAGGTGTGGTGAACAGAGGCACTATGTTGGAAGGGCCCAAGCCTAAAGCCTGCACATTGTCACTAATCCCAAATGCCACTCTTTCTCTCAGCTCTGTCCCCTGTGGGCAGCTATTTTGTCTTCTTCAGGGCACTAGCAAGCAACTAGGCAGCTGGGAGATGCTCAGAACATACTTGGCTGGTAGAGAAGAAAACACAAATCCAAAGTTGAGGTTAATGGAACAGCAGAAAAAATACCAGCAAGCTGAATGATGAGTACTCCTAGCAACAGGAAATTTAAAATTCATCCATCTCTAGCATCTCAAGGTACGAGGAGCAGGGGACTCCCCAGTGCTGTGTCACTGAGGCAAGGAGAATCTGCAGTGGGGCATGAGCATCTGGCTCTCCACCCCATTTGTTCTATTACCTCCCAGCTGGGCTGTGTGTGCATGAGAGAAGCATGACTCAGATAGAAAATAGTGGTGAGCAGAAAAAGTGGAAGTCAGGCTCAGGATGCTGTGGTTCAACCCCCAGATCCTTGGGCCTTGCCAGACTTGCCCTGAAGGTATCCTGAGCCAGCTCCACCACCCAAAAAAATCCTTCAGAAAAAGTGGTGGAAGTGGGACCACAAGACCCTGACGTTTGCAGTCTTCTAAGTTTACCTGTCCTACAGCCAACATTTTGGCCCTAGCCTTTCAATGTCAGTAAGGACTCGGGCAATAGGAGAACCTGTACTGCAACATCCTGTAACTCAATTGTGTCCCAAATTTTCTGATCAAGGAGATTTTGGGGTCACAGAGGAAAGTGATGGATGATGTAGAGTGTGCCTAAGTGTTTTCATCTTTGGGAAAAGTGGGAGCTCCCAGGGCAACCCCTAACTCCTGAGCACCTGGTGGAATCTGGGAAGAGTAGGAAGCTCCCTCCAATGCATTCAAATCAGGTGGCTTTTAAAAGTGAGCTCCTTGAGTCACAAGGAGAGAAAACATTCTCTCAAGCTTTCACAGAGAGCAAATTGGTCAAGTAATGGCCATGACTCATCCACATGGCTGACACTGACAAAGGATCTACAAACTGAGGTACAAGGTTTCAGGTTAAATCCTGAGGGGATTTAACTGACCTTATCAGATACAAAAATGACATTTCTTATTATATAAGTCTTGCCCTTTCTTGGTCTTAACCATCCAACAGAAAAGTATGAACGTGAAGTATAAAAAGTAAAGCCATATTAATATGATGAGCTGTAAAATATTCAAGTGAACAACTTCGGACATTGACAGTCTTATGGAAAACCCACTACTATTATGGACTATTGGACTATATTGGGATATTTTGTTGAATTCATGCACCTACAGTATGTAAATGACAATGGAATGCCCTTCTCTGATAAAACTAACCAAAAAAGGGGGATACAAATGAACGACCATTTTGTATCTGTATACTCAAAATAGTTAGAATAGATATACAGCTCTATTCTCTTAATTCAATGAACAGAGAGGTTTGTTCTAATAGTGTTTGAGACAGGATATCAGGTCTGCATCTTGTACAATGAATAACCAATAAGACAACAATATGCAATGTATTAATTATGAAAATGTACTAGTAATCGGTTGTAAAACTGTCTCATTGCTATTTGTTTCTCAATAAAAGTATTTAAAAAAGAAAATAAATGTCAATTTAAAAAAGTATTCTAATTTAGGTTTCAAAAGCATTTGTTACATTGAAATATTTAAATTTTGATATTCATAGTTTTTGCTCAAAATGTGGGAAGTTGTTAACTTGTAATTATTTTATTTTGAGACAGAATCTCACTATGTAGTTCAGGCTGACTCTAACACTAGGAAGTTCTCCTGCTTCAGCCTCTTGAGTGCTGGCATTATAGGTATGCACTATCAAGTCCAGCTAAATCCTAACTTTTAAATTAGTTATGAGTATGAAATGCTGAAAAGTTGTCAGTACAATAAAGATTCTCTATGTTTATTGCCCTTATGTGCACTTTCAATAAATAATAAATTTTTCCTATGCTAAAAAAAGAATAAGTTTACCTGTCCTAGTGACTCAACTTTTGATGAAGGATTACAGTACTAGCTTTTGTCCACCCTCTAGACAAAACTGTAAAGAAAGGCACTAGGTTTTATTACCTTCTGAAAAGCTTCCTAAATTCCAGGCCTCATGATTTCTGGGTGGATGCCTAGAACCCCCTCTCCTGTTGCTTACGGGATGGGCCAAGAACCTCACCCCTGTCAAGGTGCAAATTAGGTGATGGTGGAACCCACACAAGCTTCACAGCCATATCAGGGTCCCAGGCCTGCCACTTGCTAGTTTTGCTTTTCTAGATAAGTTATTTTACTTCCATGACTGCAGATGTTTAAAAAAAATATTTAGAAGAGGTGACTTATATCTCTCTCCTAGGAGATAGGAAATGGTTTGTGGGAGAAGGCTAGGAAGTACCATGTGGCTCCTGCTCTGGGGCCATAGAGATCCTATGCCCTTCCACTTTCCAGGGCCTTCATTGCCTACCAGTGGGCAGTAACTGCCACTGCTCTGATCACTTTAATGCATACTGAAATTAGTAAACTTATTCCTTTTGCGGAAATTTTGCATTTTATAATGCTGAATTCTTTTTTTTTTTCTTTGTGGAAAAAGGGATTGAACTCAGGCCCTTGCGCTTGCCAGGAAAGCACTTATTCTACTAACCTATCTCGCTGGCCCCAATGCTGAATTCTTAATATAAATGAAGACCTAATTGGCAGGTCCTGAAGAACTTTTAGTGGCTTTTTTTTTTTTTTTTTTTCACTGCTAAGGATCAAACCCAAGGCCTCCCACATGCTGGGCAGTGATCTACCGCTGTGTTATAGCCCCCTCAGGACCTTGCACTTGCCAGGCAAGTACTTATTCTACTGAGCTATTTTTTTTTTTTTTTTTTTTTTGAGACAGGGTCTTATTATGCAGTTCTGGCTGGCCTTGTGCTCACTTCTGTAGCCCTCAGGCTGGTCTCAAACTTACAGTGATCCTTTTGTCTCAACCTCGTGAGTGCTGGGATTACAGGCATGTGCCACCATACCTGATTCCTGGACCAAGACTGCATACCCAGGGATCCAGGATGGCATGGCATACAAGGCTAGGGATCGAACTCTGGTCCTTGTGCTTGCCAGGTAGGTGCTTACGCCTCTGAGCTATATTCCCAGCTCCTCTCATGTAATTTTTTTTTTAAAGGCAAGGTTCTTCCTGTATTGCCTGCCCTTCCACTTCCAAGGAAAGTGCAGGAATCCAACCATTTTTACTGTATTTACCGCTCCCTGGGATCTTGAAGCTGACCCCAGTGCATCCTAATGGCAGCACTTACATGTTTGTCTGGAATTGGGTCTCTGAAGAAGGAGATCCCCAGCATGCTGAGGAGGCTGACCAGGAGGAGGGGCATGCTAAAATAGAGGTAGTGCATGCTGCACAGGGGCATGAGGCACTTCTCGTCCTCGCAGGTCCTGTGTCTGTAGATAAGCTCAGGCAGCAGTCGAAATAAACCAATCATAATCCCGAAAGTCAGCCCCCAGAAGGCGCCCTGCCAAAGAAGGAGCCCAAAAGTCATCTGGGAGGAAGATGGGTAATGACATGAACAAGCTTCACCATCCCTCTCCTAAATAGCCGGATTGTAAAGTTAAACTAGTAACTGAGAGTCCTGCCAAAGAAAGGTGAGTGAGGCTTCCACAAGACCCACTAGCACTCTCTCTTAGGTCAGCCAGAGAACTCACAGAAAATTTAAACACTTCTCTGTGAAACTATGCATAAGCATTTCAAATTAAAGCGATCCAGTAAGAGTGCTGCTATCCCCATTTCCCTAAATGGCACCTCTCTGGTTGCCAGGTTAAGCCCCAGGAGTCAATTCTTGCTCTTTCCTTTCCATCCTGCCCTGCCACCAATCCCTCAGCAAACACTATCAGCTCTACTTCCAGAATCTTATTCCTCGCCATCTTTGCGATGGCTACATCATGAGTCCTGTCCTACCATTTTTCCCCCACACAGGTGGACTCCTCACTTCATTTTCTGATTGCTCGCTGGTCTCATGGAAGCCACGGTGGTCTCTAAAAGCTTACACTAGAAGATGTCATGCTACTGCCTAGACTCTCCACTGGCTTCTCAGCAAACACTCAGAAAATAGGGACTCAATGGCACCCCACAGTTGACCTCACCCAGCTCAGCTCTGCTGCGTCCCCCTTGGTCCTTCCACTCCAGCCCTCAAAACCTTCTTCCAGTGTCTGAATTTTGCCTGTTTTGCTCTTGTCTTGGGGGTTTTGCACTTACCCTTCTTTCTGCTTCACTGTTTCCTGTATATTTAGTATTTCTGATTCATTCTTCAGGTTTTCAGACTTAAGGTCACCTCCTTAAGAGAGATTTTCGACCACCTTACCTAATATCCTCATTCATCCCCCCACTGTCCCTAACTTCCAGCCTACCCAGCTAGTTCCATCATCTTTTAAAATCTTTTGAGCAGTACTTTGCCACTATCTGAAGTTGTTATCTGCCAACTGGGCATTGTCTGTCTCCTTCAGAAAGCCTGTCCATTCCATGGAGGGAAGACTGCTGCTTGGAGGGAAGGGTGCATGTGCAGCCTGAATTGGGAGTGAATGGATGGAGAGGGAGAGAGAGGAAGAGGGAGAGAAGGAGGGAGAGAGGGAGAGAGACAGAGAGGGATGGAGAAAGGGAGACAGGGAGGGGGGAAGAGAGAGGAGACAGAGAGAGAGAGAGAGAGAGAGAGAGAGAGAGTGAGAGCGAGAGAGAGAGGGGGGGAGAAAGCATGAGATTTTAGCTGAGATTCTGAAGTACTGAAACTGAATGTGGGCAAGTATTGCAGGGAAAGAGCTAACCCAAAATTCAGGCAGAGGTTCCATAGGAACCAATTCCTGAAGGAGAGGGGCAGAGGCCAGAGGGCAGCATCCAAAACATGACCAGAGATAGGGCCTGTAAAAGTGTGTTAAGTTAAAGAGGGAGTATGTAATCTATTCCTGAAACAGGACCTGGGGTAGCAAGACAGCCCTAGTCATGTCCTCTCATTTCTCTTTAGTAATATACCCAATCACCCTGACACCTGCCTCTTCTCTCACACATGTCCTTCTCAGAAGAGTGAACAGGAGGAGCTCTAGGGTCCAGAGTGACCACCTCCCAACATTCTTGCTGATAAACTGAGTACTGGTGAGCTGGTTGGAACAGGAAGTATTGGCTAGTGGTCCAGAGAACCGAATACATGAGAGAAAGCATTGACTAGGTGCAGTAGTAAACAGATCTTCCTGACACAGAAAACAGTTCAAAGGAAGCGAGGACAGAGGATGCAGGGAGGGTTCAGCAGTGAGCACTGCATGTTCTATGGAGTGGGTGGGCTACACTCAGGGGTGTGCGTGGATGGCAAGGCCTGAGTGTAGGCAGGGCCAGATCATAAGGGTTTTCAAGTGCTGTGCTTAGGAAGGCCTACTGTTCAAGGTCTATTTTTTTAGTGCTAGGAAATACTGCTCAACATATGACTCAAAAATTTAAAAAAATCAGAAAAGGACATAGTCAGGCAAACACTATACTTCCTAAGTGTTATTAACAAAATGACCAAATTATTAATGGGGATCTTTATTTGGTCTTAAGTATGGACCAATGAAATGGTTCAAGTAACTATGCATTCAGTACAGAGGATGTGGAGGAAGCCTCCTACCGTATACCCCCGGTGAGTGTGGGATCTCTGAGTACAGGGGCTACAGAAGAGTATTTTCCTACAGCTAACTATGTGCGATGGAGAATCACTCACAGTTTCTAATCACGACCTCTGAAAGTTTAAGTGATCAGGCTCACATGGCATGGCTGAAAGCGAATTTCACTGTAAAAGGAGGAAGACAAATGAGAGTGCTCCCTTTCTCCCCAAGAGCCAAATCTTCCTGGGAAAACATTGTACCTCAGAAATCAAATGATGTCATGGTGTGACCATGACGTCATGTCTTGAGTACAAGAGAAGCCATTCCAGGCCAAGTCTTACAAGGCTATCTATAGTATGAGGCAACCCCTTACACCTTCCCATGCCAACACCCACCTCCTCATTGATTCTCCTGGAAAACACAGCGAGTATGAAGAGGGCAGTAATGGGCGGCGTCAGGCAGCTCTTTATCAGTAGCGTATGTTCAAATAATTTTTCACTGAGAGATGTTTCTATAATAGGGATCCAAACAATGGTGGTGGCAAGTAAGGTTATAATAAAAAACCTATAAATTAAACCAAAAATCAGTGAAAATTTCATGAGCTTTCTCTCTGGCAGTAAAAGAGCTAAAATCTAGAAACTGTTAATGCAATTATTTCTTTGTTTGTCTGGAGTGGCAGGGATAAATCGCAGGGCCTTATCATACTAGGCAAGTGTTGTGCCAGTGAATTACATCACTGGCTCTGTTTCTCAGGTTAAATTCAGCTGCCCATTGATAATTAGGGGGCAAGGGAGACAGCCGCATCCTTAAACACAAATGGATGTTACAGGGCTAAAACCCTTTTAACTTCTGAACAAAAATCCAGTGTCTGCCTGCTACTCGAATATATATATATATATATATATATATATATATATATATATATATATATGCATGCCATCTTTGGAGAGTATGTTTTATTTGGAAGGGCAATCTGCCTTAAATATATATAATACACACCAAATATTAGTTTCTTGAGGAGTAATACATTAAAAAAATTCAAGTAGAATACTATGGCTCATGATTTTAGATATTATTTATTGATTTATTTTTATTTGTTTATTTGGTATAGAGTCTCATTATGCAAATAGGACTTGTGGCGATCCTCTTGTTTTCAGTCTCCTTAGCACTGGGATTACAGGCATGTGCCACCACACCTGGACTCTGTTGCTGGCTCAGTGTGCCCTGGGGGCAAGGCTAGCAAGACCTGCAGGAATGGGCATCGAACCCTGGTCCCTGCGATTGCCAAAGCAGGCGCTTTGTCTGCTGAGCTGTCTCACTGGCCCCTATGACTCATGATTTTAAAGATTTCAACAAGTTCTGAGACTTACTTTATATAACATAAATAAGTATTCATCCCAGGTTAGAGAAGAGGTTCAATATTAGAAAAATCAATGAAACACACAAAATTAGATATTGAAGCAGAAAAAACAAACCCCTGTTATATCTCAACTGACACAACAAAGCATTTAATGAAATCAAACACCTTTCTCACAATGAAAAAGGAAAAAGCAGTGCAAGGAGCAGAAGGAAGCTACCTCAACACAATTGAGGACATTTATGAAAGGCCCCAAGCCAACGTCATCACACTAAATAGTACAGATTGAAAGCTTAGCCTCTGAGAGCTCCAAAAAGGAATTGGTAGAGCCTACAAATGTTCACGACTTTTTCTAATAAGTAAATTATTAATACTTACTAGGAACTGATCCCTGGGCCTTCATGCTGAGCTATATCCCAAGTCTTTTTTATTTTCTTATTTTGAAAGAATTTCTCCAAGTTGTTAAGTTGCCCAGGCAACAGGATCAAAACTTTTGGTCCTGTTGCCCTGAGTGTCTCAGAGTGCTGAGATTACAGACATGAGCCATCATAGATGAGTAAATGGCTTTATACTAGGCTTATTTATTTCTTTATTTATGTTTTGGGGTACTTGGGATTGAACTGAGGCTGTTGCACTTGCCAGACAGGTGCTTATGCTGCTGAGCTATATCCTCAGCCTCAAATAAATGATTTTAAATGTAGATCTCTGTGTAAAATTACACTAGATGAAAAGTCAATCCAAAGATGAATAAATATTATTTATATATCAATAAAGGCTTAAAATTATAACTTTTGAGAGGTTGTTGTAGTTTGGAGTTTTACAAGGGAACAATATAGGCCACATTTCATAATATTATTTTATAATAGTTACCCAAAGAATTATATACAATGAGCATAGGAAATCTGTGCACATGCTAAAGACCAATGAATACAGTTGAGGGCAGGATCCCATGATAATGTCCTGCATGAGTCCAGTTGAAGGCCTAGAGCCCATAACAATGCTCTCACAAGTCCAATTGGAGGCCTAGAGCCCACAACAATGTCTCATGCAGGCTGATTCATGGATCTGCACTGGGAAGGCCCAAAGGTCAGTGGTGGAAGCTAGGAAGTCTGTGCCAGTGGAATGAAGGATCTATGGAATCTAACTGGAGCCAGAAAGCAACCTTCAAAGTAAGAAACAGAGCTCCCCTGAAAAGTACCACAGCAATCCTCAGCAACAGCAAGGTCCTGAGATCTTCCAATAGTGAGGAAAGCTGAGTTCCCATCAGGAAAGTAAATGTGACAACCTTCCTTAGGAGACTGAGCTGTGCATCATCTTCTCCTCTGGAGACAGGAAGTGATGCTCAAGGTGAGGACCAGTGCTCCCCCAAAGTGAACCATAGTCATTCTCAGCAACAGTGTCCCAAGCTTCTTCTCCTTTGAGAACAGCTGAGTTCATCGGGAAAGCCAGAATAAGAAGGTCCTTCAGCATAATAACCTGAGAGTACCAGCAGCTCCCCAACAGCTCCCAACAGCTTCTACCATCTTCCAACAGCCTCCAGCAACTTCACTCACAGCCTCCCTCCTCCTCTTTCTTCTTCTTCTTCTTCTTCTTCTTCTTCTTCTTCTTCTTCTTCTTCTTCTTCTTCTTCTTCTTCTTCTTCTT